CTACTATTGTTCAGATGAAGTGCCTTTTAGGGTACTGGGAGTTTGGCAAAACTGGCCTGTAGGGTAATATTCCTAGGAGCCTGCTTGCTTCCTGCTTACAGTTTAGGGATAACTATGAAGGGAGAATATGTTTCTCATTTCTTAATGTTTATGTGAGGGTATGTAAACAAAAGACCTTATCTTATCCATAGTGACTGAGAGTATGCAAATGAAGGTCCTTATTATCCACAGTAATTACTATGTTTAGAGGTTTTGTCCTCCAGATTCTTAATGAACCTGGAGGTTCGATCCAGTCTTCAGTGGGAGTGCCCTTACCATTTTATGGCACCTTTTGCCCAAGTACTGGAAGATTACATCTTAGGTGTGTAAGTCAGCTTCCCAAAGTATTGATGGAAAAACTGTGAAAATGAATACTGGACTTGGAGAGGACTGGGGCATTTAAATCTCTGAGGTTTTAGATTGTGTGCAAGCCCAGCGTTAGTTCTCTGTCATTGTTTCTGTAAGGTGAAAGTGAAGATTGACTTGCTACCAATGAAACAGTTAGAAGTCTACAGATGTCACAGGGATGTCACAGGGATGTCACTGGTAACAGAATTTGACTTATGTTTAAAAAAATGTTATATTGAAAATGATTTTTAAAAAAATTTCTTCAGTAGTTAGACACATTTTTTTTCTTGGTGTGTCTGTTGTAAGAAAGGTGCACACTAGCCTTGTAGCTGGTGACTTATGTATGGGAGTCAACTGAAGTATCTGAGATGGTCAAGGCAGCATAGTTTGGGTGAATTAATATGCAGTTGGTGTGTGTTCTGTATCAAAATTTGATCATTTTGTGCTGCACAATGAGCTTGATCTCTGACATGAATTTGGCTAGGAGCGTTGAAGACGACTAGTGTAGTGGTGAGGAAGTGCATTAGAAAGGAACAGCATTAGGAAAGGACCAAAATGTGTTAAGGTTTTTTGACTGGAAGTATCTATTGGCTGCCTCAGCTTGCGCTCCTATAAACCCAGAAGCTGAATCCCTGAATTCTGGACATTGTTGCTGCCTTTGGCAGAAGTATCTGTGAAGTTTGTTGCTAAAACCCACTCAGTGCAACTTCACCGAGGATGACCAGTTTTTAACAGTTACTTAGCACTGAGGTGCACGTTTTGCTGTAGAGCTAGGCGGTTTTATCCGTATTGATGAATCAGGAAAGTGACAGCTGTCATTGGAATTTTTTCCTTCCAGCTTGTTTTTCTATGAATTGGGTAACTTTAAACAATGCTGTGAAAAAGGACATTGTAAAGCTAGGAAATGTTGAAATAAGGTTGCTTTATACAATCTTAATTCATTGTCACGTGCCACTGTCCATGGACATCCGTCTCATTCAGTGCAGAGAACTGTGGCTCCCTCTTGAGTAGTGATTTAATATTTTGTTTCCCCAGCCTCAATTGTGTCCTTGTATTATTAAGTGCATGTTGCTCAAGTACTGTTCTGAATATATAATTCTTTTTTTCTTATGAGCTTTTCCATAATGCTGTGTTTGAGGTCCTAAGAGTTTGGCACTTCAGCAGATCGCGTTTCAAGGAATCTCAAGTGAGACTTCCACGAAATTAAAATCCCAGTTAATGATCATCAGGAGAAAGTTTGGCTTTAAGCAATCTGACTGGCATAACAGTGAATGGTGCAGTAGAAGGTGCCAGTGACAATACAGAGTTCTTCAATGAAATGTTCAACTGCTTTAACAATATGAGGCTACCTGTTTACTGTCTGACTCCTGCAATGTTTGTGCATTTCTCAGCAACTTCAGTAATGGGAAAGGTTTCTTACAAATATCCTACAAATAACAGTCTTTCATTACATGGCTACAATTTATCCCTGAAGTGTTGCGTGAACCAAGTGAAATACATAAATCCCTATGGAAAAATAGTCAATGATCATATATTTAATACTTGTATTGTAAGGGATATATCTGATGTGACAAATTAAGGTTGCAAATGTGACCTGATTTGAAGAGTGTCTTGATTTTGAGTGCTTGACTGACTTTGTAACCAGAACATTTTAAGATAGCTTGTAACATTGCGTATATAGCAAGATAAGAAAACCTTAACTTGGTTATAGTGTTCTGGGACATACAGAAATAGGTGCAAGTGCAGGGTCAACAAATGTTTTTCCTCTGAGAAAATGCTTTGTAAATATACACTTGGCCTAAGCCTTATTTGTACAGTGTTCATGTGTTTGTGTAAAGTGGCCTTAAGGAGGCCTGAAATCCTGTTGTGTATTCTTTGCAAGAGGTGTATTCATCAGTAAGTCATAGTTTCTCTTCCTCAGTAATTCCAATGTTTTAACAAAAAACTTGTGTTCAGTATTTGTTCCAGGGCTGTTGTCATGCAAGACTTTTTTTTTTTTTTTAACAACACTTGCTAAGAATCTCTGCCTGCTGGTGGTGGTTTAGATTGAAGGAGGAATGTAGTTTTGTAACTTGCATGCTTGAACGCTTGGATTTTTGAGTATGCAAGTTTTTACTCCTTTCATGGAACAACACTGTCAGGAACAATTTGCAGTACTCCTTGTACTCTCCTTTCTGTATCAGGTAGGCAGACACACTTCTGCTCCTTTGTACATTAGTAAATATGATGCTTTGCCCTGACTTCTCATACCAAAAAATTACTTCATTTTAAAGCCAATTTTTTAGTTCTAGTTTTATGTCTTCCTTTTTTTCCCCCCCTTCCCCTAACTATTCAGTTAATGACAATTATATGGAAGAGAAATTAGCTAACAATACCAGAAATATGGAGGGAGAGGTGTGTTGCTGTGTCTGTCAGAGGTCAGGCTCAACATATCTGCTACCTGGTGGAAACAACTGACAACATTAACTAGTGGCAGCTGCTGGCACTGCAACAGTTGTAGGACAAAGTTTCAGGTATAGGATTGAACCAAATTACTGTTTCCTAGATTCTGTATTGGCTGCTGAATCAATAGCATCAGGATTTTTAACATTCTATGCTCCATCCTGAGTACTAATTTATTTTATATCCTTGCAAAGTGCAAGCTTGTATTTTCCCTTGCTCAAACCTTTCTCTTCTCCAGCTAAAATTGTGTTTCAAAATACATCTATACCACAGTCTGCCCAAGCTATAGAAGATCTAGCTTGGGTATGGAAAGCAGAGTAACTGGTCTGCTTCCTGTGTAAAACTGTGAGTATAGTAAAATAGGTGATCACATACTAGTGGTTTTTGTTTGTTTGAGGCTTTTTTGTTTCCCCCCCCCCCCCCCCCCCCCCC